CTCAATAATAATCTGTCCATCTGCCAGCGGGTTTTCCATCTTTAACCCAATGTGCAAAACAAACGTCTTTCACAATTTTTATATAATGCGTAGTATATTAAAGTTTTTATATCATAATATTAATATAATTTTTTATCCCTAAGTTTGATTTCATTTTGTTTGTATACCTCAACTGAAAATCTCTTATGGTGAAAAGTATTATCTTATTATGGGAGCACGCTTCATGCCCATTTTATTACTATTAGAAAAGTGATGAAGTTTTTCTTGTTTTACTTAGCATTCTGTTCAGTGGTTAATTACAACCAAAGCAGAAAAAGAGCTTTCTTTAATAAAGGCAAAATGAAAACATATTAACTCACAAAATTTTACAGAAGTTAGTAATTAATGTATTAATATAGAAGTCTTCCATACTCCAATTACAAAAACGGTGTAAAAATCCTTTTTTCAACCGTGGGAAAAAGGACCTTTTGTGCTAATGATTTTATTAATTATACACATTCGATTTGAGTCCCCAGCAGCTCGATTCAAGATTATAGTTGGCTCCAAGGTTAGAAAACGTTTGTTGCCACTATTTATTAAGGAATAAAAAGTAGTAACCGCATATAATCTTGTCCTTCTTGTTTTTAGTATGAGACAAAAGCTTCGTCAAACATTAGAAATCAATCCTTAGATAGCCGACCATATAGCCAACTTCATGTGCGATATAATTAAGACTTAGCTTTTTGTATATGCTTTATAATCACTATTGATAAAGCTCATCTATTAAGTTTCATTGGTTATACCTTGTTCTCTCTACTTTTTTTTTTTCATTTCCATTTTCATTGTCCGAATCAAATTTAGTGCACAATTATATTTATAGATTTTGGTTATTAAGGAGATAAAGATTTTTATGACTTGGTAATGATTCCTGATGAAGCAATCAAGTACAATGTTCCACACACAAAAAATTGCATCGCCTCGCTAAGAACACAAGTAAAGAAAACCAATCATTGACAAGTGCAGCTCACAAAACCAGTAACAAAAAAGAAACAAATTACAATTGGCAAAACTCCTAGCTAGCTAATGCTAATGAGGGATTCATCATGGGAAGAACATAATCAATCGGTAAGGTATCTTGATGAGATTGAGAACTCAAAGGAATTTGCGTTCCTGATTGATTCATCGGCAGTGGAAGATCATAATGATTTTGAGTCTGATCCAGTGGCATTTGAGTTCCTAATTGATTCAGCTGCAATGAAATATCATAAGTATGATCCAATGGCATTTGAGTTCCTAATTGATTCAGCGGATGAATGTTATGAACCATTGAGGTAGCTTGATCATGCGGTTGAAGAGTCAAAGGAATTTGACTTCCTAGTTGATTCATCGGCAGCAAGTGATGATTCAATGGAAGATCATAATGAAGTTGAGTCTGATTCAATGGACTTTGATGAGTTCCTAACTGATTTAGCGGAGGAAAATGATGAATCGGTGAGATATCTAGATCATGAGATTGAAGACTGGAAAGAATTTTAGTTCCTAATTGATGATTCAATGGAAGATCATAACGTATTTGAGTTTGGTTCAGTGGAATTTGAGTTCCTAATGATTGGTTCAGCTGAAGAACATTATGAAGTGGTGAGGTAGGTTGATCATGAGATTGATGATTCAGTGGAAGATGATAATGATGAACTGTTGAGTTATTAGATTGATGCATCAAATTAGGATTTGAAGGAATTTGTGGGTTATATTGATGATGATCCAATGATGAGGTTATTGAAGTAATAATCCCTTTGAGATCTTTAGGTTTGATGTCTGCTAAAGTGAAATCATGGATACTTCCTCTTCTCTTCACTTGTGTCTCTCTTTCACTTTGGCGAATATAAAACTTTTGAGCATGGCTTGCCACTTGATTTGCATTTTTTGTCATCACTACATTCTCAGATATCTTCTTCCATCTTCCCTTCCCATATATCTCCACTCCCACCAAGAATAACCTGTTCAAATCAACATCAAAATAAATCATATCAGTTCATAAGACAGACAAATCAAAATATTACCATCGTTCCTAAATATAAGAACTAATTGACCAATTTGAGTAAATTAAGAAAACAAGTTAAGTTAGTTATTTGTAATAAATAGGTGTTATCTTTTCTAAAATATCATTGCTAATCAATTTATTGGTTAGAATTATCATTATTAAAAAGACTATTTTGAAAACAAATGAATAAATATAGGAGACAAAATAAATTGAATTCTTATATTAAGGATTAAAATAAAAAAAAAGATTTTATATTAAGAATCGGAAGTAATACCACCGGTTAAACCTTTTTTTTAATTTAAAAGTGCAGATACTGACCACTTAAGGTAAAAACAGGATAAAATAATACTCCATCCGTTCCTTATTATAAGAGACAAATAACCGAATTACGTTGATAAAAAAAACAGTTAAAATTAGTTAAGAACAATCAATATGTAAAAAGTATAATTTTTTTTCAAAAATATCCTCATTAATAAGAAGAGAGAACATGAGGGAGGGAGAACATGAGAGAGAACAATAGTAAATTATTAAAAGAAAGAGAAATGGGAAGGAGAGAGTGTGTGAGTTGGAGACAATAAATATAGGTAAAATAGAAAATCAACACAAAAAAGTAGAGACAATTTTTAAGTGTCTTTTATATATAAAAACATGCCACAAGCATCAAATGTCTCTTATAATAAAAAACGGAGGGAGTACAATAAAACTAATGTTCTTATGACCTAGCAACATTGAAAACCAGGTGGTAAGTTGCGGCTTGAATCCTCTTTGTAACTTCATCCGACTTCCTGATCATTTAATGCTCTCACGAATAAATGAATAATGTAATAAAGTGTACGTACATGTGTTCATTCAAAGTCCAAGACGTGCTCTTCTTTTTCGTACGACCGCTAGGCCTGGGCGGCTGATTGGCGGAGGAGGAGGGCCAAGAGTCCGGATAATACGTTGCCGGAACCCGACCCGATTCAATATCGGCGACATCGTGCGGAGGCAGCAGTTGATGAGGATACAGAGACATCGCGGACTGCGGAGAAAGAGAGATAATGTTAACGATGGATATGAAAGATATATATATTTTTATTTTTATATATAGAGAGAGAGTACAAGAACCGATTAAGTCGTCTCCGTACACAGCAAGTTGCGGTGGAGATCGGTGGTCGGAGTTCCAACGCGGCAGGGGCAAGAAGAAGCGGGGTTTAAGGATGTGGAGTTTCGACAGTGTCACCGGTGATTTGGTACCAAAATTTTGGCGCGAAACTCTTCAATTTGTTCTTCGTGATTCTTGGGAATGACTGGATATGTGTATATGAAGCCAAATAGGAGAGAGAATAACGATAACTTATTTTCAATTTTTTTAAATTGCCCCGCGTTCCAAATCTAACAGAATCTAGAAACCGTATGATATATTAAAGCTTCTATATTACGCATATAGATTTCATTTTCAATTTTTTTTGCCTGAAAAATTTCAATATTTAATATATATGTATATTATATAATTTTGAAAATTTAGATTAAGCCAGTGGTGCTTGAAGAATGTTGGGGATCGAGGTGTTTATTTGCCAAAATATCGGCCCTAATTTTTTAGGGGAATTTGAATTTTTTTTTCCTTATGAAAAATTAACATAACTTAAAAAATGGTATAATTCAGTGATACCTGCAGGCTACAGTTAAGTTTTTTTCCTTATTTTATATATTGATATATTTTTTTAAAAAAAAATTGTAGCATACCTAAATTATATATAATACAGATTGTTAGTTTTTCCCCCCTACATAATAAGAGTTAGTAAATGTTTGATAATTAATTTCTCTGACTATTTGTAGGATACAAATGTTTTTATAAAATTATATTATATTTACATTTATATTTAATAACGTAAAAAGATGAATGCATTGTGTTGAAGGAAAGTCAACCGGAATTATTTAATTTTTCCTCCTAATATCGTATTTGCCATTGAAAACTCACAGCAAAGAAAACGTATAATATATTAAAATTTTGGACTAATATAATTCTTAGTTTTTTTAAGTTTTCCCTCATTTTGATTTCAAACTATAAGTTTTGATTATTTAAAGGGCAAAATAATCTAGGTTTTTATTAAATTAAGAATCAATATTTTAAATGAAAAAAAATTAAGAACCAAAATTAAAATGAGAACAAATTTGAGAAAACAAAAGTTCACCCTAAAATTTTTGTATTATGTATATGGATTTGATTTTCAATATTTAATATATGTGCATATAATTTTGAGTAAAATTATTTAAATGTGTGTCTACTTTACATTAGGCCCCTGGAATGTGGTTGATTAAAAAAACAAACAAACAAAAAACGGTGCTTAGCAACTAAAATAACGGCCCTAAAGTTTGGGGTCTTTGAATTTTTTTTAATAAAATGTACAGAAGTTTAAAAAATAAGTTAACGTAAAGATGGGCTCTGATTTATAATATACACACTGATATATTTTTTTAAAAAAAATTATAGTATACCTAAATTATACTACCTCCGGTCCTAATTATAAGACTCAATTGACTAATTTGAAGAGATTAAGGAAAAGTTAAGTTAGTTATTTATAATAAATAGATGTTGTCTTTTTAAAATATCCTTACTAATCAACTATATTGGCTAAAACTAAACTATATTAGCTATCCTAATTGTAGTAATACGGAAATAAAGGGCCAGTTAATTTAATTTCTCTTATTACTATTTGTAGGGATACAAATGTTTGATAATTTTTTTGCATAAAATTATATTATATTTACATCTATTTAATACCGTAAAAAGATAAATGTATTGTGGTGAAGGAAGGCATTTTATAGAGATTTATTAAAATCAACTTTGCCAGGGAAGGTCAACTGAATTAGTTACTCTTTTGGCCCCCGAATTAACATCATATTTGCCATCCAAGGCTCGTAGCAAAAACTGAAAATTGACAATTGAAAAAAAAAAAGAACAATTCAGAACAAGTAAAGTTTCGTGGGCGTCGTCCTTTCAGTTATCTTCTTTATCCTTGCCTCTGCACTTTTCTTCCTCATCTTCTTCTGAATCAAACTTGTTTTTCTCCATACATTCTTCCCTTTCTGCACTGTTGCTTCTTTCTTCGTTCGTTCCTTGTTCACCTCTGCAATTCAGATTTTTTCGTTTTTTATCACACCGATCATATGCTTTTTTGAATCAACAATCTAAAAAAATGTACTATCGTCGAGAGAAGCAGCACACCAAGATCAGTCAGTATGACAAAGACAAATCGAAATCAGTCATTGACGATAATTTCTTGGCAATTCATAAGGAAAATCCACAAAATCAAGAAAACTGAAAAGAAGAAACAGGGGGGAAAAGGAACGAAATGCAATTGAAGTGAATTGAGAAATTTCGTACGTACCTGTATTCGTTCATTTTCCAGTCATCAGGATCGTCTGCGTCCGACGGAATCGGCACCCGGTCTTCTTCGATCGCCGCCAGGTCGTCTAATAGCTCTTGATATCGTTGCAGAACCATTTCCTTGGTGGCGCCAGGGATTTCATCGGCGATCCTCTCCCAACGATCGGGACGCTCCTCTGGATACTTCAAGAGAGCGTTCTCAAAAAGCTTGTGCGTCTCGCGATTCCACTGCTCCATCGCTTTTCAATGGACCTTCGGAATCCTGCCGGCCGGTCGGTGGTTGTCCTTGCCACCGCAGCTGCAACGGCCAACAAGAATTTAGTGAGACATCCGATTACGGATCAAGAATCTTACTGAGACATCCGGTTACGGAGAAAGAAAGAGGAAAACACCAAGGAATGAAGGCATACCGCGGAAAGATCGAGGAGAATTTTGGTGGGAAAATTTTTCTTTCGGCCAACGGTGAGAAAATTTAAAACTTTACCATTCGCGATTCATGAATATATACACACACGCATGGGTGGCTTGGAGCAATAAGAAGTTGGGAAATTTAGTGAAATGTGCTCACTTGAAAAATTTTTGGAAAATCATTGCAAGGAGTAGAAAAAAATTAATATAATTACTAAAATGGTCTCTTAACAAGGGAGCAATATGTAGTAATAATAAGTTTGCTGCAATAAATAATAAAAGATTCACACTCCATACTGCTTATTTTTTGTGAGTTTTTTTAATGATTACATCCTTTCATTGAAATTTTGCAGTTGATTTTTTAAGTGGATTGTACATCTGAAGGTAATTAAATAAAATCAAGTCTTCAATATTATTTTGACACCATAATTTTTGCAAGAAAGAAATTTTAATGTTAATCTAATCTTCTAAGTTTTGTACTATAACCTGTGTCCTTCTCATTGTTGGCCACTCTCAATGGACCCTAAATTTCAAATGCTTTTAAGTTGTCATTGAAAAATTCCTGAACTTATTTGCTAACGCCAACCCAAATCACGTTCACAAGATTTTTTATTTTTTTGGGGTGGGGGGCGGCGGAGCAAAGTGTACAAGGTCAGTTATTTTTTTTTTTAATTGAATTCTGTAATTGTAACATCAATGATGCTTTAAAAACGACAATATAAAATTTGAATTGTTATTATTATTATTAAGAATTATATATTTTCATATTTTAGTCAAAAAAAATAAGTAATAGAAGTATACAATTTGTTTATTTGCCTTTTACTTTTAATTACAGAATGAAAATTCATGAATTTCGCCCTTATCATCTATGATATTATTTCCTTGTTTTTTTAGTGTTAAAATGCATCTACCATCCCAAAGTATTTTTTTAGATGCATTCAACATGATAAAATAACTTTTTAAATGTATCTAACATTTTGAATATTTTTTTGTACATCCAGTACTCTAAAGTATTTTTTTAGATATATCTAGCATCATAAAATATTTTTTCTGTGCATCCATCACTAAAGCATATAAAAATACTTCAAGATACTGGAATCACCTAAAAAATATTTCAGGGTACTGGACGACCACAAAATATTTTACGGTACTGGATGCATTCAAGAAAATATTTCAAGGTGCAAAATGTACTTAACTTTTTTTTTATACAAGATATTATTAGTTTTGTTTTCCACTATGCATAGGGATCCTCCTCCTGTTTGAGGCAATTTTATTCAAAATATTGCTTGGCACTGAATATGAACACTTCTCACAGTAAAAATTTGAACTTTAGTTTGTTATTTTACGAAAGATTGATGCCTTCCGCTAAATTCAACTCTGTTAGTACAGGAAATTATTAGTTGGCATTGTAAAAGATTGTGAAACGATGGCCCAAAAAACTCAAAAACGAAAACGGGAAGAAAATTAAAGTACAGGACCCAAGGTGGCTTTCTGGGCCAACATAGGCATTGCCATCTTTGATCCGCCCCCTCCAATGACTGTTGTCACTTATAATAATCATGGATTTGTAAATAAGTGCATCTTACTGTACAGGACCCAGAAAAGACGCTCGCTGAATTGAAATTTACACTTGATTAGGATATAGCGCATTTAAATTTAATTCAAGCAAACGAAGGTCAATTAGCATATGAAATTTGATGACGTTGAGAACTTGCCCCTGCTCAGTACTCCCTAAATCTAATTTTCGGTCCAGGCCAACGTGGCATCGCGTGCTTTTCTCCGCGTTTCTTGACATTTGATATCTTTTCGTCGTGCAGCCGTCTTTTGGTTTTGGATAAGATCCAATGGCCACCTCATTATTAAGCACTCAGACAACAGTCAACAATGTGGATCACCATGGGAAATCACTGTGACAAAGAATTTCAATTATTATTTCTACTTTCCAAATTCTCCGCCGACCAATAACATAAAATTACCGTCTTAATTCAACCCTAAACTCTTTGTCACAACTACTAACAGTCGCCTAGGAATCCACAAAATAATCTGAACAGAACACAAAAAAGAGCTAAACTAGTGGCAAATCTCCTCCCTAAGAGACTTAACAAGCAAAATGAATCAAGTCGTCTATATACAAAACATACACGTTACTTTACAGACTATGTAATTGGAAATGTATAGTTTGGGATTTGGTCAATCAAAAGCCTAATATCATATCATCTACACGTTCTGTGTGACTTCATTTCATCGTATTTGTTAAGTCCTTGGGGTTCTGGTGGCTAATTCAAACTGATGTACCAAGTCATCTATACACTTGTAACTACACACAACTACTCCAAAAACTTACAAAATAGGATGGATGAGGCCATTTATATATCAATAGTGCATGTCATCTATCTCTAAGTTGGAAAAAGCATAGTTTGGGTACCCAAACCCAAGAGACTGATCAATTGAAGGATTCTGTGGGTTAAATTGAAGCATTGGTGAGGACTGATGCACCGGAAGGCCTGAAGAGACAATCTGAGATTGAAGGCTTGAAGAACCAATCTGGTTTTGATCCAGAGGCTCCACGTTGGTGTCTGCAGTTGTGATATCATGGATGCTTGCTCTTTTCCTCTCTTTCTTCGCTTTTTCCCTCTGGCGATTAAAATACTTCTGAGCATGGCTAGCTACCTGAGTTGGCGTTCTAGTTACCACAACATTCCTCGAAATGCTTCTCCAATCTCCCTTGCCATATTTCTCCAATCCTCTGAGGAATAACCTATTTGAGTAGGCAAATAGGGACATACATGATCAGATTAACAATCAAAAAGATAGATAACTTTCATTTTCATTCCCATCCCAACACAAAGTATTGAAAGTTAAAGCAACCAAAACAGGACAATGAGCATGACGAAGCCAAATCAAAATCAGTCATTGACTCTGATAGTACGAATACAACAAAGGCCAATCATATTAGAGAATCACAACTAAAAATTCAAAATAGAAGAGGCATCAATCAAGTGTGATTGATTGGTCTGGCCCCTGGCTCAAGTGAGTTTCCTTATGTCAGGTAAGGGTATTGTGTCATACAATTACAGACACTAAAATAACAGGTGAAAAGAATATATATTATGGATGGGGCACAATATGAGTCACATTGTTGTGGTCAAAAGTAGGGTAAAAAAAATTGTAATATATACCGTCTTTTCTGGCCAAAAAAATACTTAACAACAGAGTTGTTTAGGTAAGCAGCTCTGTAGGAAATATTTTAGAAGAAAAGTTTTTGTATGAAACCTCGCAACTCCTGAAACAAAATATGGATTTGAACCATTAGAGCGCTGCCTATGTGGATTAGAAGTAGAAATTTTGATGGTGAACCTGAGGCTCTGAAGAAGGAGGTTGTGGAATTGAATATGAAAGTCCACCATTAGAATTAGAGGATTTAAACGATATGACCAGGAACAAGAATTGAACAGCTTTACTCCAGAAAACTTCAGAATAGCATGAAGAACAACACTAACAACACAAAAACATAGGAGTTTTCGTCTAGCTCCTTGAGGGGGAAAAAACTTCGATTTTTCGAATCAGTTGCCGCCCTTGACAAGTTCTTTCCTATATTTTCTCGGAAACCATACCGGTTCATAAAAAAAATCCCTAAAATTAAGCACAGTCAAAAGAAATAGGAAAAAGAACAAAACAAAATCGAGCTGAATTGGAGAATTTTCAAGCCAGCATACCTATGTTCTTCCTCAGTCCAAGGCGTGCCCTTCTTTCTTTCGGTGTCAGTATTCTTAGGCGGCTTCGAGTTGAACGAAATTTGATTGGCAGAGTTCCAATCAGAGGAGGAGGGCTCAGCATCAGATGGAAAGTCAGGGAAGGCCGGAATCGGGACCCGACCGGCATCAATCTCAGCGACGTCATGTAGGAGATCGTGATAGCGCTGCCAGACCAAATCGACGGTGGCGCCAGGGACGGCGTCGGCAATCTTCTCCCAGCGGTTGGGGCAACACTCTGGAAACAAGACAATAGCCTGCTCGAGGAGCTTATCTTCATGGCGCGTCCACTGTGTCATCGTCATCCACTAGATTTGACTTGTGCAGGTACCGAACAGATAAATTCAAATCGAGAGAGAGAAATTGGATAGTTAGGAGTTTGGGTGACTAGGAAAACTCGCTGTCTAGGAGATTTCAAATGATGAACGAAAGGTTTGTTAGGAGAGGAATGTGAAACCCTTGGGGTTATATAGGGGATGGGGAAATAAATTTTTTAAAATTAATTTTTAATAGCGTTAGTTTGGTTTGAGTAGAATTTGGAAAATCAGCGCTGGTGTTGGTGGGACCAGCTCAGATGCCAATATCAACACGTTTTTTCTTACCTAAGAGACTTATTTATTTTTTCCAACCAAAAAAAAAAACATTTTGTCAGGTTGCAAAGCTGGACACTCCAAATTGAAGAGTTAGAGTCGGAGTCAAAATTACCAACCGAAGATCCGGCCCGATAATAGCATTAACCTGAATTCCGAGTTCCGACTCGGCCGCAAGCCTGGAACAGGCTCGGTGACGGTGAGCCTGACCTCTTTTTGTGTTCTTGGACGCAAAAAAGGAAAACTGCTCTTTTTATTTTTATTTTTTTAGACATAGGTAAAATAATTGTTATTAATTATTAATAGCAGAGACTTTACTTATGAGCTCAAATGTTAAGGGGTGAGTTTTGCCTGGGATGACTAAACGCCTCTCTTGTAATGCTCTTTAAGCCTAAGCCTTGGTAGACTGAGGGGTTTGGCCCATTCTCAACATTTTTACTTGCTCTGACATTAGAGCATTTGAAAATCCTCATGCAGTTCTAAATATAGGGTATCTTTTTGAACTTGTCTTTTTTTTTTTTAATTCAGAATACATGACATATTATATTATAGTTTTAATATATTACCTCTGTTTTTATTATAAGAGCTTATTTGATTTTAATTTGGTCCTAAATATAAAATCATAATTTATTTGTCTTTTATATTTATTCTTTTTTTTAAAATAGTCCTTATAATAGTTGCATATGTTAAAGACTTCATCAAATAGTAATTCAAGCTAATATACATTATCAGTAAGAGTATTTTACGAAAAAAAACATACTCCTTCGGTCCTTAATATAAGACCCATTTAACTAATTTGATTAGATTAAGAAAGTTAGGTAAGTTAGTTAATTATAAGAAATATGACACATTTTTCCTAAAACACCACAATCATCTTTCTTAATACCCATCTCCCTCTTTTACTTGATTATAGTTGAGAGAGTATCTATAGGGTATTTAGAAAAATTAATAATATGATAAATGAGTTTTATATTTAGGACCAAAACCAACTCAATAATTGGATCCTATATTAAGGAGGAGTATATTTATAACAAATAACTAACTTAATTAATTTTCTTCATTTCTTCAAATGAGTCAATTAAGTCTTTAATGTAAAAACCCGAGATAGGATTTTTTTTTTCAGATCTACCCTTCATATTATGAAGAACTAGTCTCTTTCATTAAATTCAATTTCTGTTGGTTGGCTAATTTCAATTTGACTGGCTTGATATATAAGATGTGAGAAAATGTAGAATCTAACAGAGACTTAGCCTCTAGCTGAGGCATACCATAAGTAGCTTGGGACTATTCCGTGGCCTCTTCCCCTTCCACATGCGATTCTCTCCTGTAATGCTCTTTAAGCCTACGGCTTGGTGGATTAAGGGGCTTGGTCCATTGTCAACATTTTTCCTTCCTCTGATATCAGAGCATTTGAAAATCCTCATGCAGTTCTAAATGTAGGGTATCTTTTAGAACCTGTCTTTTTTTCTTTTCAGAACATATGACATATTACATTGTAGTTTTAATATATATTACATCTTGTCTTTAATATAAAAGTTTGTTCGATTTTTATTTTAGTCATAGATATAAGACCTCAATCTACTTTATCTCTCATATTTATTTATTTTTTCTTAAGATGGTTCTTGTAATAATAGTAGTTGCAACCAATATACTTGATTAGCAAGGATATTTTAGAAAAGACAATACCTATTTATTACAAATAACTAATCTAACTAATTTTCTTAATATTCTCAAATTAATCAACTAGCTCTTATATTAAGGATCGCAGGCAGTGTATTATTTTCAAGTCTGTCCTTCACATTACGAAGAACTAATCTCTTTCATTAGATTTAATTCCTATTGGTCAACGAATTTCAATTTGACTGGCTTGATATATGGGATGTGAGAAAATCTAGAATCTAGCAGACGCATGGCCTCCAGTTGAGGCATGCCACAGGTGGCTTGGGACCACTTGGTACACATAACTAACTTGTTACCTAATAATGTCACATTCCTTCTTATCCCCTATTTGTGTCTCTATTCCCTAGCTTTGATTCGTCGTATCTCCCCAATTGCATTTAACTTATCCATAATGTTATTTATTATATATTTAACCCATCCATAGGTTGAATTAATTTTTCCCCAAGTTCCACACCCACTTTTTCTAGTGATAGCTAGTTTCAAATACAGATGTTTAGAGTCATAGATAAGGTCACGCATATACGCACTCCTATAAATCACTTTTCACATGTCTAGTCGGAATTTAAAAAAATCTTAAATTTTATTAATTTTTTCTTAAAATTTAAAACATTTTTAACTTTATTCTTATTTATTATATGCACTTGGGGAAAAAAAAAAGGTAAGATAGAACATTTATATTAAAAATTTAATAATATGACTCATAAATAGGATAAAAAATATTCTTTCTACGCCTTATAAATCAAACCTAATGAGTATGTATCTATTTTAAATTTTTCTATTTTTATGAAAAATAATATATAATTATTGTGTACCCATAATTTAATTTTACTGCCTACATTTTTTTAATACTACTCCGGTTTGGGACTCATTTTTTAGTGTAATTTATATTATAAAATAGGTTTTATATTTAGGACTGAAGGAGTATAACCAAATCTGGAGCATCAATGCTTTTGCTATTAAAAAGCAGGAAAATTTAAGATGCATTCAAATCATCTTTCCCAAGTTATCTCTCATTAACCACTTATTTTTTTTTGGGAAACCTCATTGACATGTCTTTATTAAACGATAATTATTAAATTAGGGAAAACGTTAAGCATTAATCACAAAGGCATTTGAGTGTAACTTAGTCCTTATAATTTAATCACAAAATATATAGTGGATAAAAGTAATTATTATTTTTCAACAAATAAAATTAACTGACTTAGGGCCTGTTTGGGTATCCCAAAACCGTGGTTTCAGAAGCACTTTCCCGCAAAACGAAATAATCTCCTCCACATATTTACTTCGTAATCCGTAAAAACACTTCTGAAACCATGGTTTGGTTTCTATCCAAACACACCCTTAGTGTAAGATAAGGTTTAAGATCCGAGTTTTAGTTGAGTCAGTACTAAATGGACAAGATCATGAGTTAAGATTATAATATTAAAAGATTAGTTTTTATTTATTTTTTCATAAAGGATAACCCGACCCCCTAGCCCAACCCGGAAACATGACTAGGGTCCGAGTTAAATCCATATAAATGACCTTATCCAATTTGGCACAACCAACTTAATGGTGGAAAAGAGATGGAAGCAACGCTGAAGGGTCCTTTCCAACCGACATCAAATTAACAATAATAATATTAATTAACTAATAATAAAGTGGTTTGATGATTCCCTTTGCAGAATCTAACAACTCCATTTTCAAAACGGTGAATCTTTTCTTCACTTTCGGTTCAAACATTGGGAAAAAAGGGGAAAAAACAGGGAGAGAATCTGTGACCAGGACTTGTCAATTCTGGAGCAGATTTCAATGCCCAAGAACGTTTACAAAAATTCTCCTGTTAGCAGCAAAATTTTAACGGTATGATCACGGAAACCAATTTTTTTTACTCATATTACTATTTAGAGTCAAATTTATTTAATCATTAGCCGACATGAATAGCATAGATGGATATCTTTCCTGGCTTTTACCATGTTTACTATTCAAATGGATAAGATTGTGGCCAAAAAGCATTAGGGAATATTCCACTTGATTTTTCTTAGGATTGGTCGAAGTATATGCAATACTTTTTATTTTATAAACTTATATTTATTCCCCTGAACCCTTAGATTATAGCGTTATGTGCATGAGTGAGTCGTATTATTATTTGTATTTTATGAATAGCATAGTGTTCTAAAATAAAACCCTTGTCTAACCGTGGAGCCTAAAATCAATCAGAAAGATTGACATTAGAAGGGAAAAAAAAGTAGAAAACTATGTACCTTATGTAATTTGGAAATTCATTAACTTAATTTGTTAAAGAAGATAGATGGCATGATTTGAAAAAAAATTGTGAGAGAAACAAACATAATTATAAGTTATAACCGTAACCCACTTAAAAGAGTGAAAAAAAGCATAAGAGCTGATTGGTAATTTTGAAAGCTAAAAGATCAAGTAGTCCCTCTTACATGTAAGAATTAATAAAAAAATTATTTTAAATGTAAAATCTCAATTCATTTATTTTTTAAATTTGTATTTTTTTTTTCTAAACTCTCCATGTTATTAGGTGAGTCTTTTCTTGACAAGAGAGTATTATCCAATGCAAATAATTTAAATGAGTATTTTAGAAAATTTAACACATATTTTTTAAAAACTAATTTAATTAATTTTTTAATATCTCCCACTTAGCTAGCTGATCCCTACATTAATTTGGAATAGGGAGAAGTATAGTTTAATTAAAATATTACATTTGGTCTTTAATATAAAACATAACTAACTAATTTGGGAATCAAGATCTTTAAAGTATTTTATAGAAACCATATAACATATGTTATAAATAAGTAATTTAAAATTGTTTTAATCTTTATAAATTAGTTAATTGAATGTTATATTAAGTATCAGTAATATTAAGTTTTGCTTCGCTAATCATGAGTTTATTGTGTCGATCAGTTTGTCTGTTAAGAGCTACGTTACGTATGGGGTTGACCATTGGATGATCAATGGTTACTAATACCTTCAACTAGGACTACAAACCTTTTTTTAAAAGCAAAAACCTGCAGGTGGAAAAAATTTTGTACTCAGATGCTACTAGCTCCTCTCTTTAATATAAAAACTAATTTAATATTTAATTTGATTTTAAATATAAAATATCAATTTACTTTGTTTTTTATGTTTATTTATTTTTT